TTGAAGGTATTACTTATGTTTTTAAAAAAGATCTGCTCTTTAAATGCTGGTTTTGATAACAACATATTCAGTGGTTGAGTTGTATCGTTTATTCTGCCTAGCATTTTGAATTCCCAAATGTTATAAAAATAAATTATTAAATGCCGTTAATATATATTTATGTTATACTTACGATATGTATATTTAAATTTTGCAAAATCACGTTTTGTAATAAGCAAACGAAAAATAAATTCAATTCTGATAAAGAAAATACCACCATGTGATTAAGACGGAAGCCTGGACATATGGAGCTTGAGATAGCTGCTATTTAAAAATATGCTAGACATTCTGGGAGAAGGAAGAAGGAAAATTAACCCTAATATTCTAAGACAAGAAGACAAAATTAAATACAAAATGAAAACATGCGTAATGGTATACATGTATACTGAACACAAAATTCCATCAATTCTATTTCAGTATTTTCTATTTTTCTGTTCTACGTGTAACTAATACATTGGTGATATTTATATATTGTACTTGCATTGTTAATTGATAATTTCTATTATATAAAAATGCCCCGTGGGGATCTGGGTTAGAATAGGTCCTCAGTACCCCCTTGCTTGTCGTAAAAGGCGACTAAATGGAGCGGTCCTTCGGATGAGACCGTATAAACCGAGGCCCCCTGTCACAGCGCGTGTGGCACGAAAAAGATCCCTCCCTGTTTAAATGCCGTAAGTGCCGAGCGTAGGCCTAAATTTGCAGCCCTTCACTGGCAATGGTGACGTCTCTATCAGTGAAATATATTGAAGTACCATTTATTTCATGTAGTTTAAAATAAAACAAAACGACTTTATGTTCAATTAACATAAATTGTAAAGAATCTCTTTCCCTTATAAGAAGTAAAACGTAAATATATAAGCCTGGTATCATAAACGTATATGTATAAGCCTGGTATCATAAATAAATCAATATCACAAGGGCATAGAGGAAATCTAATTTTAAATTTAAGTGATAATTCGTTTCTACGTATCTTTTAGTTTTTAAGTTTAAATTCAAGTTTAGTTTAAAGGAAAAAATGAAATGTTAAAGACATGTACTTCGTTAGTAAATTTAATCGGCGAGTTATATCGTTTATTCGATCATATCAATTAGGATGATTAAGAAATCCAGTGAAAGTAAAATTCCTAAATGTTGCCCTCGTATAGGAATATGAATGTTTTACAAATATTGATTCTATTTATACATCAATAAAAGAACTTTGCAATATCATACTGTGTGATTTACCATTTTTAACAATTTTACAAAAAAAAAAAAAAAAAAATAGTTTCAAATATGAAATAAGAAAACTCGTTATGTATATATGCTATAAGTCGGAAGCCTAGAAATGTGTTGGTTGTGATAACTGCTATTTAAGGATACATGTGTGTCACATTCTTTCGAAGAAGGAAGAAGGAAAAGTAGCTCAAACAATCCAAAGACATAAATGATGAGAGAATATATTTCAGTTTGTACTGAACAAAATATTCTATCAAATGTTATTCGATACGTTGTCCTTATTTATTTCTGTACTGTATAAACAGTGACAAGTTAAAAAACATGATACATGTACCATGTTGAAGTCAGACCTATAAAACGGGTTATTTCTAGATCTACGCTTTCGTAGGATGGAGAACAGTTGCAAATACTTTTAAATATATCTAAGAGGTACATGTACATATTGAAGACAAGACACCTTTTTATATAAATTTGGACAAAATACCTCTTGTCACCCCTGTCACAAAATAAACATTGTTTCTAAGTTATCGGATAAACAGAGGTCAGAGAAAGGTCAAAAACATGTCTATTCCCAACTTTTCTCTTTGTTGCTTAATTTTTCTATCGAATTTACAGCACATTTTCTTTCAGAAAACATTGATCACAAGCTTGCCTATATACCAAATATATATATTTCATACACTAGTATAAGTTGCGTTTTCTGTTTAAAGATCTCAGATAGGCAAGCTTGTGATCTATGTTTCCCGAAGAGAAGATGTATCTTAAATATGACGAAATCGGGAAAATGTCTTCCTTCTGTACCCTCTTGTGGCCTCCATGTAAGCTTTGAATCATAGTTAGTGTTGATATTTAAACATCATTCAGAGTTCCGAACTACAAAATTTAATAATCTATCAGTGCTATTATTTTTTTCAGAAAATAAGGGGCTAGATTCGACCATTACTATATCCTGAACTTGATGAAACAAAAATATCAAAAGTCTCGATAAATGCTACCAGTTCTATATTCGGTATAATACAATGACATTTCAACAAATAAATCATTAAATCAAATGCTGGCTGGCCCTTTTCATATTTATTATGCATAAACTGAATTGTTAACGTATATTTCGTTGTTTCCCGATCATGATAAGGAGAACACGGCTGTTGTGACTGGTCGACTGAGAAAACTCACTGGGGTGACTGATCTCAAATCTGATGATGAAGTACGTGTTTGATCTGCTCCTGATTTGTATTGTATTTGAACTGACTTTTGAGTCGAATAATGTTCGTTATCTCCATATACTTCATGCTCGAAAAGCTCTTCAATGTATAATTTCTCGCTAATGTCATATGTTTAAAAAAAATGTTTATGTCATAATAAGATAAATCAATTCGATCGGATCCTTAAGTGTCATATGTTCCTTACTGTTCAAGTGAGGATAAAGTGAAGTCAGGAACGAACTGAATTGTGTAGATGATAGGGGTCCTCCCTACTATTGAGGCTGAAAGAGGCCGTATGGGTTAGGGTCACTAGCTACCGGGTATTCCGGAGAAAAGAATAAGCAAAAAAATATTTGAGTTGTGCGTGCTAGAGCTTTTATGATCATGTTTTTTTTATCTGTGGGTTTGCTATATAACATGATAGTCAAATACTGCTTAGTTGAAGACATATTAAACGTTCAACTGGTATGGGCTACCAATGTTAAAATGTTTGAATAAATTTCAATTACTATAAAATCAAAATGGTTGTGAACACCACTTACTTAACATTGGAATTGTGACCCTATACAATTCAATCTATTCCTAGCCTAATAAACCGGTTAATTTCCTTCTCTGACAAACATTCGCTGTTCAAATGATTTACCTGCAGAAAAGGTATGAAATGGACCCTGCTAACGAAAAAAACGATCATGTTTTCCATATAATAAATCTTTATGTAAATTTGATATGCCTAGACTACTGCCCTTTAACTTTTTTAGAATATATGCCACTGTTCATCTCTTTAGAAAAGATAAGACGCGTAATTTTATCCGTATTATTTAACCTTTACTGGAAATCTGATACATAGATTGATTGTTGTTTAAGGTCCCATTCGAGAAGTTTTCATTCATATAGAGAAGTCACCATATACCGGTTAAGGGCTTCAAAATTTGACCTTTACTCGGCACTAAGGGCCAGTGAGCAGTGAGGGATCTTTAATCGTACCAACGCCTACCGCTGACTCGAGGCCTCGGTTTTTAAGGTCTCATCTGAAGGACCCGCAACTTTCACTTCAAAGTGCCATGGGAAAGGAACAGTTGCTACCCATTTTTTATCGACTTAGGTCAGTCGCGGCAGAATGGAACTCACGACCTCCTGATCACGGATATCTTATAGAGAAGCAATAGTAGAGAGTTTATTTTCAACAAATGTCATAGCACTTTTCCTAGAAGATACTGTTTATTCATCTCTTAAAGTATCCGAGTTTTAAGAATGTTATACATAATATGCATCCCCCGCGCAGTAAAGTTAAGGTGCGAAATTGAAATATTGACAACATTTTGTAATTAAAAATGTATTCATAATCGGGATGGCTATTATTTTTAATACATTGTATATAACGGATAATTGTAATTTTGGCTAATAACTACATATAGAGGACGATTAGATTTAGTATTGCCACGTGATGCAACAGTCATGTGATTTTAGTACATTTGCTTTCAGTATTGAGGTTACCCATAAATTTCAGTAGTGCAAGGGCATAACCAAGATAAAATGCCAAGTTAAGTCTATAAATATTTTCAACACGCATTGTAGTTTCTGAAAAATGCTGCGATACTATTTAAATTTTAAAAATTCCATTGTTAAAATCATATTTTTATGACTGAAATCTGTATTTTTTGCTGGTTAACGGCATGAAATATTGATATTATTAAAATATTTTCAAGATTTCATCAGGATCGCAGCACTTTTCAGATACCTGAGCTTACTATGGTCCATTGATTGCATGCACTTGCACTACATCGACTTATTAAGAACCACACATTATCCTTCGATGTAAATTCATACAAATACACGGCAATATCAATCAAAATACGTAATATACAGAAAATTTATCAATAAAATCGTGAAGAAGGCATTAAAACTAAGGTTATGGCCGATAGATTATCTGTAAATATTTCATCTAACCATAGAATACATTTTTCGTTGAGAAAATATCACTTGATCTGCCTCTTACTGAGTAAAAACTACATCACGGTTTATGAAATGACGTCACGTCGACAAGTAGATTGCGATCAGTGACTTGTTTATAACTTGTTTTGTAATGTGGAATTTAATTGACGACAAAAATGCACGCTGTAGTAAGTTTTGGTGTATTTTGATGCTTATCTTCAGTTAAATTAGCAAATCAAATAATTTTGCTTTTATATGTTAATTATAAAAGCAAATTAATGTATGTTCCCAGTAATATTTTTAAGTTTTGTATCTGGAAGATAAAATTTGTTATATTTTAATGTTTATATATTTAATGAAAGAATAATCCACCCATGAATGTAAAAGAATGCCCCAACATTATTAAAATACATGTTATGGTAATGGTTATATGTTTATCAAGGTTGTTACCTTGATTACCCGTTTGCAAATAAATATATAACCCTATGTTGAAAAAAAACATTGTTTAAACGTTTTGATTGCACAGTGTGGGATTTAAGGTGTTTCCAAAAACCATTTTAAATATTCCGAATTTCCTCTTTCCGGCATATTAAGTGTTTGTCTAATCACCGTTGACAGACAACAACTATTTCTATTTAAGCACATTTTCAGTATTCTATTTATTTACCAGATGTCCTCTCAAAGATTTTGCAGCTTTGTGCTTCCTTGACTTAAGGTAATTAAGATTCCATTTTAATGTAACTTTATTGAATATATAATTACAAATGGTTCACATCTGTTCAGTTAAATGAAGTTATTTACTTGAAATGATACTTAAAACTGATGCTGGAAATTTTTAACTGTCGTGACAATAATATTTGAAAGAACATAAAACAGGAAGTTGAACTTCAAAGTTTTGTATATGTGTTTTTAAATTTCTTATCTTTTTTATAAAACGGTTTTTGATTTTTGAATTTTTGAAATTGTTCTCCTCGTGACAATGCTGACCTTATCAGGTAAGCGTTGTGTATTTATTTCAATGAACGATCTGGAGATAACGAACAGTATTCAAGAGCAGACACGGACCTCTAAAACACAAGAGGCGGGATCAGGTTCCATGCCAACGGAGAAATTTCAAACTCCTTTACATTATTTTTGAAAAAAAAAATTAAACCTTAATTTTACAGTCATGGCGAAGATTTTTGTGATTTTATTGTTTGACTAGGATCAAGATAACAGACAGTAGTGATCGATGTCTTATAGACTTCACACATTGCAGATCATTACGATCTATAAGCACGTATCCCTCGAAATCCAAAAGATTGGCTCATTTGCATTGGAGTAGCTGGTTTTTTTCTGTTGACCGGTGTCCAGTCACAGTCGCCCCAAGACTTTGTTATGATCAACATGATCAAGTAGCTGAAACCGATCTTCATGATGCACTAGAAAACAGGAAAATCATATTTATTTTTCATTTTTTTTTTTATTGTTTGGCGCAAATTAGGCTTATTTTCAAGTCTTAAATACAATTAACATTATTTATTCATTAATACGTTGCTGCTTTAAGGTTTCTTCAAAGGTCAACATGTTCAAAAATTTATTTTTACAATAGCCCCAAAACTATATGAGGTATAAAGTTAAAACTTTTACAGTATATCGATTTTTCATTGATTAACAGATAGAGAGTATCACTTGATAAAAAAATACTTGGAAAAAATAATAATTGAGAAAAATTCTTCTTAAAAATGCATATATTTTCAAAAAATAAACCTAATTAATTCAGTGCTCTAAGTGAAAACCATCACTGCAGAAACAAAAAAATATTTATCAATGAAGGGCAAGTTGGACTTGGATAGTCTCTGGAAAGTTGCTTTCCCTGTTTATTTTGTCCAAATGTTAAGACTTGAAAGTGAAAGTACATTGCAAATGGCGGATTCTATGGGGGTCTTGTCTTTATACATGTCATGCTTTCAATAACAGCCTTTCAGAGACCATTCATGTCCAACTTGCCCTTCAATGATAAACATATATTATTTCTGCAATGATGGTCTTCACAAAAAGGACAGAATAAAGCAGGTACATTTTTTTAAAAATATGCACATTTTCTGATACAATTTTTCTTCAAACACATCTTTATCTAAAATATTTGTTATCAACTGATACTTTCTATCTATTAATCAATGATATATTTATAAACTGTAAACGTTTCAACTTTATACCATACATAGTTTTGAAGCTGTTGTAAAAATAATTTTTTAGATATGTTGACCTTTGACGAAACCTTAAGTCACATGACAGGAACTTTATAAATAATGCACGGCTACTAAACAGTTCAAGAATAAAAGTATTCTTTTTTTCACTGTACTGCTAGGAGACAGCCTCTGCGGGTCAAGAGTTTAATCCCGGATTGTGGCGGAAGTGGAGTTCCTTACGTAAGTGAACTCTTTGTTTTTCGTGCTTTTTTGTATCTAATACCTTTTCGCTTAAGGAAGTGATAATAGGTTTATAGAGTTTTTGTAAAATGTGATTCATAAATAAAAATTAATCTCAATGCAATGTGCATCTGTAACGATACTCAAATAAAACGTATGTTCAAGAAACTCTATCTCACTTTCAATTTCAATGACCGTGAAGTATATGGCGTCGTACAAGAATTCCAACAGCATCGAAAGCAAGTTTTTAACTTGCCTAGATTGCCAAGCTGTCTAGCGTTCTGTATTGCTTGGAATAAGTTCAACCCCGGTCTGGAACGGAAGTGGGCTTCCTCATAAAGATGAATTTTTTGTGCTTTTATTTATGTCAAATAAATTTTGATTAGATATTTAAAAATGTTATATACATTTTGTTAAAAACATTTTATCCCTTTAAATTACCTAAATAACAGAACATAAAAATAAAACAATTTCCCATACATAAAACTTTGAGTATTGAATTTATCTAGTTAAGATAAAAGACTTACATTTGATTTATTAGTTCAGTTTCTACTAAAACTAAATAATGGAATTCACTATAAAATATAGGTTTTCCTTATTTTAATGTGTATCAACAAACCTTCGTTTATATTGAAGTTCATAACAAATCACTTAAAAATTAGATATTGAACAATTTTTTTTTCAAAAAGTAGCTTGCTCCCTTAAAATTGTTTTGTATTATCTTGTTATGAAATGCATAATTTCATGAATTTCTCATACAAATTTTAGGCAATGGAAAACTCTCAGCGCCTATCGGAAATTCTGTATGTCGGGCTATGTCGTAAAATAGGGACACCGAAGGAAGTGCGCATCAGACGAGACGTGAGGGACATGGAGGATATGATAGACAAGTCTGTGATGAGAGGCGGAAGAAGAATGCTTACCGGAAGTCATAGGGAGGGATTCAGGTTAAAGGAGTCAGACAAGGATTACATGTGTTGGTGTTGTCATTGTAAAGTAATAAATAACATCTCCCAGCTCAGCACATACGATCCATCAAAGCATAGTATTTTTCTCATGGAGGACACTTATACGCCGCCTGGATTTGTTCGACTACAGCTTCTTACTCCGCCCACAGGAACACTCACATCATCAATAATTCCCTTAGATGAAAGAATATATGTATCCAGTGTTTTACATAAGCAAACGTGGGTTAAAGAAATAGGCATTCCAAATCCAACTTTTCATGGTCCTTGTTTACTTTGCCACGGAGAAGCCTTACCTATTGATAATGCAGTTTGTTTCACCAGCAAATATTGGCCAAATATTACAGATCAGTGGATAGACAGATGCTTAAGGCACATGTGGCCTCCTGCAAGTGTGCTTAATGATATCTTAAACAACAATATTCATTGTGTTGCTATTGGAAGCAAATGCACTACCATGGAAAATGAGTTAGAATGGAGATTGTCCTTTTCTCTTGCCGAACTAAAGTTAGTATACACCATGAATCATACTCAATTTTTATGCTATGGCCTCCTCAAGATATTTCTCAATGAAGTTCTCAATAATAACGTAGAGGAACCATTGTTGTGCTCTTACTTCATGAAGACAACAATGTTCTGGTTAATACAACTAGGGCATTTAAGCTGGTATCCGTACAAGTTACTGGAATGTTTTTGGAAGTGTCTTAAATACCTCATACACAACGTTTATTGTGGTAAATTTCCCAATTTTTTTATTGCACAGAACAACATGTTTTTAAACAAGGTTGTCAATGTTGCACGCGAATCCTTGTTAGAACAACTAACTCAGTATTACAGTCTAGGCGTATCCTGTGTACTCCTTAGTCCGACTCTCAGATCCATCCTTGAACCAGCCCTCAGTAGACCGATATCTGTGATCCCTCGCGCTATATCACAATTTTACGATCTCGTGTGTCCATGTTGTATTGAAAATTGTATGAGGACTGAAGTATTGGACCTTCAAGATTTATACGATTTTAAAGAATGCTTTTCCTTTTTAAGGTCTCTAGAAAATCTGTTACATTTTTCAACGTCACAGTACCAATCCTGTACTGTACAGGTCTTTACAGCAAAAGCTTTTGCTCTCATTCCATTTAGTATGCTGAAAGCTGCTTCGCATTTTCCCCACAAACGTGTCTATCACTTAGATAGAAACCGCTGCAGCATTCTGAAAATATTATCGAGGATAGGAACCATTTCGCATTCACTGTTTTTAGCTTTGTATTACTATCGGACAGGGAGATATAAGGAAGCCCTTTATATAACAAATCAGACTAAAGGAAGACTTTCGAGGGCCTACATTAAGCGTCGTGGTATGGAAGACGAAGAAGTATACAGAGAAATTGAAAATAGTCCGCCTTTATCTAGACAAATGAACATTTCCTGGATAACAGAAATAAACCTTAAGTTTGGAGTACACTATATTGAAGATTTAATATTTGAAGATCGAGAAAGAAAAGAAAATGATAATTCAATATATATTTCACCATTTGTGTTGGTAGATATGCTGTCTGTATTATCAAACTATAAACTACGTAACAAATATCAGTATCTGCAGGCCCTGACAGATCTTCATACGTTCATTCTTTGTGATGATAAAAGATATATTAAAAAAAAATATTTATCCTGGTATATTCTTGGAATTTGTCAGCAAGTTGTAGGAATATTTCATGGAGCATTAGAGTCTTACCAAGAAGCACTTAGACTAGAACCAGACTACATAACACAGAAAACGATGGAAAAGAGAATAGAATATATTCACCAGCAACAGTTTCTATTCTTTTTGCTCTGGTACATGTGTTCTCTTTTTTACGCAAGTGATCCAGGGACTATGTAAACGTTAAGATTACGTTTTACTCCAATGTAAATGGTACATGTAATACTCCCAAGGACAAATAAGACTATTGAATCGTATACTTTAGCTAAGATACTGTTGACTGCGAATGTATTGCAGTTAAATGATGTAATGAATATTCCATAATTCACTTATTGTAAAAAAAATATACAATAAAATCTATATGATATTGAATTGGATTTGTTTTATTGTAAAGAAATAAAAAAAAAATTAAGAAGTATCGTGTCTGTCATTGCAAACATAAGAAATATTTCCACAGAAAAATATATGCGGTTCTAAAACATTGTTAGGTCATGAGCAAGCTCTGTCTGAAGTAAAAGACGCTATTGCTCCTCCTTAAGAAAATGATTCCTATATACCCCAAAACTTTGTTTAGGGGGGGGGGGGTATGAAAACTTTATTAAAACAGTAGCTTTATATCTTGAATGTCTGATGTGTATATCTTTAGATTAATTGCCATGAGACCTGTAGAAAATACAGCAGCAATTATAATGCTGATGTAGGAATTGAATCAACTTATAATACAGGTATATATCTTTTGAATAACATTCATAATGAGTAACTTATAACCGGTCAAAAAATATAGAAATAATAGTACAATAATAAGCAAGCATTCTTCTAGTATTGCTATAGTAATACTAATTCCCTTATGGTTAGTGAAATCTGATTTTCATGAACAATTCAAAATTTTCTAATTCAGACAAAAAATCATTGAAGTCGAATAAAATTCAAACTTGAAAGTCACATAGCAAACATGTTTTATATTGATAAACTAAAATTGTATTTGTTATGATGCATTCTACATGTATAGTCCTATAATGGTAAACATGTACCCTTATAAATTGGGTTCAATAACCTGTACATGTAGCAACCATGACATTCATATCAAATACTCTTCATCCAATGACATTGTTTATTTGGTAAAGCATCTTTTCTTGATACACTTTGTTATTAATGGAGCAACAATCTTGGCACTGTATATAGAATCATTTTCATTGTTATTTTTTCTGGTACACTCTTTATTAAATGCATTTAAGAGACGATTGAAATATCAGGGGAGCTGCTTCCATATTGGCGACTGCCTCATTAGATTTTTTAGCAGCATCACCTAATACACAGTATAAAATAATTGTTTTAAAACTAAAGTTATAGTTAATTTTTTTTACACGTATTATTGCTTATACCAATTGAAATTTTCTTCTTACAGTGTGAAATTAAAACCTTCGTGATTGGTAATTTTTGAGAAATCGTGAAATTTTAAAACGACAAACTGTAAAGACAAATAATGACCCCCATCGAATAATGACTGGGGGTCATTTTTCGACAGCGAAAAATGACCCCCGGTCATTATTCGACGTAGAAAAATGACCCTTTTGCCCGTAGAGAAAGTGTCACCACCCTAAAAATTTGCAGAACCCACGTGAAGAAATATTACCCCCGTAGAAAAATGAGCCCCCTGTAGATTAAAGCCAAAATTCTTAAGGGCAAAAAAAATTAGATAAAGAAGCATATTGGCCAAAATGCTCATTTGAGCTAATTGGGAATAAATTGATGATATGTTGATCTCATAACATTATACAATTATAGCTATATTTTAAGGCCAATGCAATGATTCAGAATCTAAAGGAGTAAAAGATTTATCAAGCCTTAAGGGTTAGGTAAACACTGTTTTTTGATTGTGGAAATCATCGAACTGACAGAAAAATCTGCAATATTATATATTATTATATCCTCCGCTTGAAAAGCGGGAGGGTATATATAGTGATCGGGATGTCCGTCCGTCTGTTACACTTTGAGGTATCCATCTCTTATCCGCAAATCCTCATATAAAAAAAAGATATGTTTGTGAAACAGCTATGCCCCTGTATGGCAACATAGCGAAGATTAAACTTTTCTTAAATGCAATTCAAATATATTGTTACCCAAAGTAGGGTCTTCTCACAAGAAATACAACTGCAAAATAGGAAAGCCCTAGCACCACTTGTTCCAAAGTAATGGCTAAGGATAAGTTTTTGAAAGGTAGGTCAAACTCAAAGGTCAAAGTTGATGATTTCTTACGAAAATGTTTAATGTAACAAGGATTACATATGTGAAGTATGAATACCCTAGCCCTAACCGTTCAAAAGTTATGGCCAAGGTAAAAAAAAATCATAAGTACGGAAATCTCAAAAGTCAAGGTCAAAACGTCAAAGTTTTTAGTATCCAATGAAAGGTAATGCCAAAAAACTACATATTTGGAGTATGAGAGTACTAGTATCTACCGTTTAAAAGTTATGGCCAAAGTAAAAATTTGGCATTTTTGTGTAAAATGGGACAAACTCCAAGGTAAAGGTCAAAAGGTCAAATTTGGTGGTACCCAAAGTAAGGTCTTGTCACAAGAAATACACATATTAAATATGAAAGTCATAGCTCCAATAAATGAAAAGTTCAATGCTCAAGGTTAAGGTTTTTGCTGACAAACAAACCGCCAGATAGACAGACGGACATACAGACGAACATGATAAAACTATATACCCCCGAATCTTTGATTACGGGGACATAAAAAGAAATGGTCTTCCAAAGACTTTTCATATTATGATACATTATAAAGAAGACGTTACAACAATGAAAAAAATTGTTCTGATTTTCATATTAAATTCTCTGAAAAATATACTCAGAACTGAGTAAAACAGAACAGGCTGTGAAACTTGGTATGGTATTTACATACTGCGACTTCACATTTTCAAATATTTTTAGGGGTACTTGCCATAAAGGGAATATGAAAAATCACAGAAATACTTCTTCAAACATCGTCGTTTATAAACTTTATTAACTGAATAATATTAAACAATATTTTATCAAGAATAATTTCTTTTTTATTCAATGAACATCAAAGATAAGTCCACCATTAAGAAAAATAGTCAAATGAACTCTATTATTTTTTGTCAATTATGCACCCTACATTTGTAAATATTTTTTAAATATCTTTGTCACAATGTTTTCAATCTTTAATATGATGAGGAACATAGCCAAATGATAACAAAAAGTGATTAAAATATATACCTTTCCCCTCTAACTAATGAAAGATAAGCTATTTACCGATACTCATATTCTTGATCTTTTTGCACTTACATGGGATTAAATAATCAAACAAATGACTGTTTGGGGTTACTTTCAGATTAAATATTCATCAGAAATTGTACCTTTACTTTAAAAAGATCATATTTGATAGAAAGATTGTAATCAAACACCAAGAATATGAATAGGTAACAAATAATTGTTAAAAGGAATGCACATCATTTCATTATAGATATCACAAAAATGTACACACGATCAAACGATCTACAACACGTACATCATTGAATTAGACACATTTCATCAAGATACTACACTATATAGCTGGCAACTAAAGATTTATTACGATTTATGCATTCCTTTGGTGTATGGAAAACCCTGTTTTTGATTTGATCATTGGAGAGGTACACGACGCAAGGAAACCCCATGACCCCGACCCAGAGTGGAGACCAAAGACTGTTTTGGCAATGGAGACTCGACAGCAAGCAAGAGAAAAGAAGAAACCTTACCAGGCTCTCAGAGTTCCAGATGTAGTCAAGGATGATATCAAACCTGAGGATATACAGCGTGAACAACAAGCTGATCCATCACTTGAAACATCACGTCGGAATGCAAAAGAAGGTCGCATATTGCGCAATGGGAAGGTAAGATGGTTAGAGAAGGGAGACTTTTGTATAGGGAGTATCAAGCATCGGAAAGTGAAGGAGGTAAGTCTTTTTCACAGCTCATAGTACCTTCTAAATTTCGAACGATTGTTATGAAGCTAGCACATGAATCAGTTATGTCAGGTCATCTAGCAACAGGTAGGACTATATCCAGAATTTTGTCAGAATTATTTTGGCCTGGTATGCAATCTGAAATTAAGCGGTTCTGTCAATCATGTGATACATGCCAGAGGACTGTTTCAAAAGGAAAGGTGAGCAAAGTCACGCTGGACAGAATGCCTCTGATAGATGTACCATTTAAGAGAGTGGCAGTAGATATAATCGGTCCACTACATCCGGCAACAGATAAAGGTAACCGATTTATATTAACCTTAGTAGATTACGCAACGAGATATCCAGAGGCTATAGCGCTCCCAGGTATAGATACTGAAAGGCTTGCAGAGGCTTTGTTAGAAATGTTTTCTCGTATTGGGGTACAAGAGGAGGTTCTTACAGACATGGGTACACACTTTACATCTGGACTTATGATGAAGGTAAGTAGGCTAATTTCAGTGAAACAGCTGACGACAACACCGTACCACCCTATGTGTAACGGACTAGTGGAAAGGTTTAACGGTACGTTGAAACAGATGTTAAAGAGGATGTGTATCGATCGACCAAAGGATTGGGACAAGTACCTACCAGCCGTCCTCTTTGCATATCGTGAAGTACCACAGGAAAGCTTAGGCTTCTCACCATTTGAGCTAGTGTATGGTCGCACGGTTCGAGGACCTATGACGATTCTGAAAGACCTATGAACAAGAGAAATACAAGATCCACAGGTAAAGTCCACTTATCAATATGTATTTGATCTCAGAGACCGGTTAGAGTCAACCTGTGAACTCGCCCATCAGAATCTTGAGAAAGCATCTAGGAGACACAGAGCTTACTTCAATAAGAAAGCAAGAAGTCGTAACATGAAGCCAGGTGAGAAAGTTTTAGTTCTACTACCTACTGACAGTAATAAGCTGTTAATGCAGTGGAAAGGGCCATACCAAATTGTCAAGAAGATAGGTAATGTTGACTACCAATTAGACATAAATGGAAAACTCAAAACCTATCATGCAAATTTGTTGAAAGGTTATATTGAATATTCATATCCAGTGGTAGGTTCTGCGATGTCTGTTGTCAGTTCAGATAAAATTGATGAGTCGGAGTATGGAGATGAACAAGAAGGGTATGTAGATTCATGTAATGTAGAAACATACAAGGTTGTAAATTTGAACCCAGACCTGAGTAAGCAGGAGGAGACTTTGATGGAACTTCTGCACAGTTTTAGTGACGTTTTGAGTGACAAACCAGGTCACACCCATGTATTGGAACACGACATACGGACAACTACAGACAAACCAATTAGAGTAAG